GTCACAAGGAGCGCGCTCGGCTCCTCTCGCTCCTCGCCGAGGCAGGAGCCCAGAGAAACAAACTCTCGTCGTACATGCCGGGGTTTGAAATCCCCAAAAGGGGGGAAACGGACAAGCAAGAAAGGCTAAGCTGCGGCTATGGGACTGCCAACTGTTCTGCTAACAGCCTCTTAACAGGTGTGGGCTCTAGAACCATGTAATCCTATCAAGTTACCAAGTAAAAAAAAAAAAAAAAAAGGGAAAGAAATCCGGCAAACTGCTGCATACTCCTGAGCTCGTCCCCTCTTCTCCTCTCTCTCCCTTCTCTTTCTGTTGTGATAGAAATGAACAGCTGGGCTTCAGATTTATCATGTACAGACAGTAATTATTGCTGGTGCTGCCTGCTACTGACCCAAGTGAATAGAATGTCACATGAAAAAAAAAAAAAAGAAAGAAAAAAGCACACGGCACAGAAGGGGGAACTGAAGTTGCCGGGTTGGGGGGACTGTATGGAGGATGTGTGGGTGACACAAAAGACAGAGCGGGGCAGTGTTTAAACGTCACTGTGCTCCTGTTTGCAGTCAATTACGGTTGAGGACAGGGGTATTGGCTCTGGAACTCGGCAGAGCAAACATTTTGTCGCTCACGTTGAAGGTGACAGAAAAAAAGAAAAAAAAAAAGAGAGAGCTTCTATGTTTGTTTCAGTTTTTTTTTCGTCTAACCCCTCTCTATCAAAAATAAAAGCCAGAGACACTACAGCAGGTCCTAAATTCTTGTCATAGAAAAGGTGGTAGAGAAGTGAAACTGAGAAATGTGCTAAACCTACAGCGGTGAAGCGAGGAGACGGATTTGTTTCAACCTTTCAGGTTTTCATCGAACATGTATGATTCACTAAACTTGCCAGCAAATACTGTTTAATAAAGAATGAAGCAGAGCCACCGGTATTGGACCACACGAAATGTTTCCGTCATTATCTCGAAGCAGTCTGACCCCACCTGCAGTATTTATTCCAGAGATAAGAGGGTCAGGAGATAAACTATTAATTTATTATCCATGTCAATCACTGTCCTTGTCGTCGAGATGGTTAACCCGACGTCCGCTGCCTTTCTTTTAAACACATTCGGCTCAAAGTTGTGGTCTGTCACATTCCATGCCCACTAAACCTACGTACGGGCTGGTTCACACCTTAAAGACCCCCTGCCACATTTAAAAGGATTAGTCACCACATTTTGTGCCGGCTTAATCTCTCTTTCAGCTGGCCTAATAAGTGCGCTTCGATAAGCGAAGCATGCAAATTCATTCATGGCCAGTGGAGACCATGCTTTCAGACAAACGAGCCCAAGACTTCTACTCTGCTAATTACCTCTTCATTTTCCCATTTTCCCCTCTTATATAGCATATCAACAACTAGAGATTATTCTACCCCCCTTACTTTGCATGAAATTATAATTTCATATGTAAGATTAGGAAATCGAGACAGACACACACAAAAAAAAAAGTTACTGGAAGCTTCTCTCCTGACTCTGCACACA